AGTGTGGGTTTTGTTCTCTTCATCTGGTTAATTCATTTTAACCAATTCTCAACATAGTGATGTTTTGTTTGTTGTTGACAATTGGTTTTGGAAAGTTTGGAAACTTGATGGTTTAGAGCCATAGACTTGATCAGCTTCTGTTATGTGAAGAAGGCTCATCTCAATGTTCTCAATGTTCATTCTCAGAGTTTTTATGTTGGATGTTTACTTTTGGGATTATTTAAGACAGAAATGGCATTTCAGTATAAGAGGCTTGTGTTCTCATTGAGTTTATTATTGCTCTATGTGTGATTCCTGTAAGTACCTTGTGGACAACAAGTGAAATCCAAGCTCTTGTATGATAAGTAAGGATAAAACATCAACAGGACATGATGTTAGAGGAAAGTAATCAATGATGGGGTGGTGTGATGCGCCAAAGTTGATTACGTCCCAAAGTGTTTTATTCCTCTTGTACCACAGCAATTGGCCAATGCTGCCCTTTTTATTTATTTATTAAAAGACATGTCATACTTTTAATCCATTTATATTTACATTTAATGTTGCAAAACAAGTTAGTTACTATTATCATTTGTGTAATATCAGCTATAAATAGGCATACCCTCACTAGCCTTTTTCTTTCTCTTGAAGCTAAGAAGCTTGTCACATTACTGAGAAATTGCAAAGAGCTCTGTCCTGAATATCCTGAGTTAGAAGTTAGAAAACATAGTTACAGCTTTACTGCTGACTGTTAGAAAGTGCTGACTCTGGAGACTCCAAAAACGCTCCTCACAGAAAAGTTCACCACATAAACATTTCTACCCATTTTTCATCCTTTTACATGGATCATCCAACATACAATTTCCTGTATAGAATAGAAACAATCACATATTAGAACGAGCGCTTCAATATAAACCTTCAGCCATCAGTATTGTCAGAGTTACTATTATAGAAAATTAATCAACACCTTCTGACCAATCAGATTTGACAATGTGGTATAAAGTACTATAATACATATGCAGGTCTTTTAGGGTATCTGCATTCAGTATTAGTTCCTCTTTCTATATGTGGGTGGACACATTTGTGTGAGTGTGTATGTGTGTGCGCGCCTATCAATGTGTCTTTGTGAGCTAAAGTTCTGGACTTTTCTATTCTCAGCTCTCCAGTGAGGAAAAGTTCACGACTCAATTGTCATTCCGGCTTGAAAGGCTTCTGAAAAAATAGCCATGTGTAAAGGAATAAGGGAGCAAACAGTAGCAGTTGGATACGATCCACATGACGCTGATCCTCTCCCATTCTGTCACCACTCCTCACATGCCTTGTGGTCAGGAACAATGTGTGTCCACTCATTTTCCTGGTTAACATCACTCCTCTGACGTTAACCCCCTTTTGTGGCCCATCACTGAAAGTGACTGTGGCAGTTGTGCTCAGTGGGAAGACAATGTCGTAGCCATGATACATTAGTGTGTGGGTATAGTATTCTGGTTTTACAGTAAACAGTTGGATAGTTGGAAAAATAGTTGGATGCACTGATTGCCTGTCTTGTTTTAGGAGGATTCCTCAGTTTGGACAGTATTTGGCTTGAGTGTGGTGGTTAAATTCGGATGTGTGAGTCAGGCGTGAAGGCTTTCCCCCTGCAGTAAAGGCCCAGCAGCAGAAGGCCTAGTCAGTCACTGCGGTGACAGCTGAGACGCAAAGCTTCACTCAGTGCAAAGGGGCTCAGTGGCATCCTGCTAAAAATACCCCTAAATAATGGCAATTTCAACTACACACTTGGGGGCATTGAGGTACTACTGATAAGTGCCAGGTGTGATAGAGACAGAAGGAAGTTTCTGTGTTTGCATGTCTGTCTTTGTGCTCTTTGGGATATTTTGTTATTAGTGCACTGTAATACAAAACCCTTTTTTAATGAATGTGACAATTAAAATGATGAAATATACTCCTCATTCTCATACACTGGGTCTCAATGGAAAATGGGATGAGGTATGGTTGCTTTCTAGATTTTTTTTTTTTATTATTATTATTATTTTTTTTTAACTCTCATTGTGCTATGAATATATTGCCTGTGTTCAAAATACCACCCTGCTTTCAATTCTCTTCCAATTACAAAGTGCAGTTTGAGTATTCTTTACCTACTAGGGTACAATAATTTAGATAGTAATCCTAAGCATTGTGGGATTTTATTAGTGCACTAAATACTCACCACTATGGTTTTGGACATGACAATATGCAGTGCACTATATAGTGAATTGTGTGCTGTTTCAGACACACTAATTGTTTTCCTAGAAGTAAATATCATTTTTGTGGTCCAACTGAAATTAAGTATACATTTTCTGTATCTTTTTTTTCTAGTTTGAATGTGCAGCAAGAGAACTGCTGAGCAGCACTGGCCACTATGACATTCTCCCGATTGGTACTTAAATATCCCTAAAAAGATTAAAATGGATTCTTATTTACCTGTTTAATTAAAAATTACATATTACCACTCACAGAGCGGATTTGTCCATCAAGAACTGCTGATTCAAACCATTAATAGTGTTTTTCCATTACTTTTCCTGCTTGCTAATTTTTCTGACTGAACTTTTAATTTTTATCATTCGGTATTTATAAAAGACTGGTTTTGGAAATAAGACTGTTTTATGGCCAAGGGCGGTATAAAAAAACAGATGGCACTTAGGAAGCATTAGATTGCAGCTCTTATAATCGAAAGCAGCAGATGACAGATATAAATACTACTGTGTGAGGTTTGGATGAAAAAAAAAACTACTGAAGGAGGCCAGATGGGTTTGGTATACAGCAATCTCATTCAAGAGGCATTCAGGGTGAAAATGAGAAAGACCGTATAAGATACCGAGATGCTGGGCCTCATTTATCAAGCTGTGTATGAACAAATTTATTCGTAAATTGTGCAAAGGAGCATTTAAACAAGAAATTCATGAAAATCTAGTTAGGTTGGAAAAACATACGTATCCTATGAAAGCTCCTGAGTTTGTTTAAATTTACATATAAGGATACACACTAATGTGAATCTCGTTTTATCGGCTTCAGATTGTATAAGTAGTAGGAGTTATACAATTTTATATATGGATTATTCTGTCATGCATGAATTTAATGAAAATTTTACTAGACTCAGTTGTTTCATATTAATGACTGCATTGATTGGATTCATTAGAACAAATCCATAAATGAAGACAAATAATCATTCAATTAGGACAAAAGTAATGGCACCTTATGAAACGAGGAAGTGTCAGTATTTGCCTGTTGTAGCCGATTCACTGCAAAGACTGAGGATTTAGCACATGGCACGCTTAAGAAGCACGCTTTCACAATTTCTTCATCATTTTGGCACCTTTTATGGAGTTTTGTGGGCTTCACTAAATGTACAGTATAAATCAGCTGTGCCGTGGACACACTTATTAATTTATGGATTGGTGTTTATCAGCATGCGCACATGAGTACGAAGAAAATCAGTGTTATTGAAAATTGTAAATCTGATGGGAATTTTAAGTTTGCTTTGGCCTTCGAAAAAAAAACCCTTTATTGCTTAACAATAACCAATGTTTGGAGAGAAACTGATGACAATGCAATAATTTTAAAAGATTAACCATCTTATGTGTCATTTCTAAAACCTCACTTTTTTGTTTAATCCTTTTGTAATTCCTGTATTTCATAGATTTTTTTGGCTTATAAACTGATTTTATGTTTGGGTAAAAAGATAACAGATTGTAGAGTTTGGTTTTATTTACAGGCAAACTCTGGACACTGTTGCGGCCTTTGAGAATCAGGTTTATTCCTGGCCGACTTAATTATATCACGATTAATCAAGTAACAATGCTAAAACAAAGTTTCGGTGCAGATTCCCCAAGACATATTGTGTTATGCAGTGTAAATTCCTTTGAATCCCACACTAGTTTTCAGCTTAATGTAGAGATCTCTCGTAACAATGGTGTAAATGGGCACTGTAATTACACTGTAATTGTAGCACAGTGATCTTAGACTGGACTCTAGCCAGTGTCCACCTGGTCATTAGTGATCACTACTGGACATATTATGCAGTGTGAATCCAAAACGTGATTTAGCTCAGTAAATTGTAGGGTTTGTATTGCGTGATATTTTGTAACAGAGCCCTGTGACATTTGATCCACTAGGACAGTGGCATTAGAAATGTGTTCTCCTGTCATCAGGTAGTAGACTGAAATGTCAAACATCGCATCCACATCTTATGATTTACGACATCTGCAATGCTTTACTATCTATATTCTGCAAAAGATTTACAATTATACATGAATAGAGGTGTGTGTGTGTGTGTGTGTAGCCAGGCTTTTAATTTCTTTATGGGGACCATAATGTTCCCAAAATGTTGGAAATGTGTGATAATTTTGTCCTTGTGGGATATTTGACTGGGCCACATGAGGAAAATTGCAACTTTTATTTAGAAAAAAAAACCCTGAAAGAGCCAAAAGATGACTTTTAAATTACTGAGGTTAATAGTAGGGTTAGTAGTATTTAGCATTATTTAATGGTATTTAATAGTATATAGAATTATTTATCTACAGTAACACATAAGTCATTGAAAATACCCCACAAAGATAAAATCACAAATGTGTGTGTGGTACAGTACGTGACACATTGGCACGGATGACCTAATGGTTCTAAAGTTTTTTTTTACCATACCACATACCATTCCACCAGCTTCTGAGCATTAAGATATTTTAAACAGGTATTAAAACATGTAATGGTTATACGCATGACATTTATTGGACTGATCTTAGGTTTCCAAAAGGAGATGAAGATCAGGTTTTATGCATTCATACTTGCCTACAGGGAGGCCTGGTACTTTCTGAAGTGTAGGATGAATGAATACCATATGAGTAGGCTTGCTTTTGTGATTGTGTATTAGGCTATATTCACATAACCAGGTTGAAGTGACATAAATCTGATTTTCTGCCTTAATGTGACACAGAACAGCTTTTTTCAGGACTGTGTGGACACAAAAATCAGATCATGAATCAGTACCCATATTGGGCAGTGGTAGCTCAGTGGATGAGCTAAGATGTTGGACTACTGCTCGGAAGGTTGAGAGTTCAAATCCCAACACTGCCAAGCTGCCACTGCTGGGCCTTTGAGCAAGGCTCTTAACCCTCAACTGCTCAGTCGTATAAATGAGATCAATGTAAGTCGCTCTGGATAAGGGCGTCTGCCAAATGCTGTAAATGATTCAGAATTCTTGCACCTTTTTCTCAACACCAACCAACAATGGAAGATAGCAACAGCGGTGACTATATTCAGTGGAAAGATGAAGAATTGGTAATTTACTTGATATTTGAGAAATCGATTCAAGCAAAACTGAAGGGAACCTGCTGAAACTGAATAGTGTTCAAAACAATCACCAAGAAATTGATGTGTGCATGGGAAAAGGTGCTTTCAAATTAAAGACAGTTAAGGGTCACTTGTGGTTACAAATATGAACTGGATGGATGGATGGATGGATAGACAAAAATTGTTGTGCAAAAGAGTTGTGAACGTAGCCTTACTGGCATTGTGGGCTTCTTTTCTAGCTATTCAGTGATAGTTTCATTGTATGGAATGCTTCACACTTCTGCACACATTCGTCCACCGTTTTACCCAAAAACTAATGAATCAAATTCTTTACCCATTTGTCTGTTTCATCATCGGTTAGGCAATATGTTCTTCAATGGATTTTTACCCTGTTTCTTAATGTCCAAGAAAAAAAATCTGTTTTTCTCCATCGATGCACAAGAGGAACTTTTGGAGGCACTAATTCATTGGTCAGGGCTTGAACTTGTGACCTTACTGTTGTTGGTCTAATATTACTAGCTTCCAATGTTCTCTAAAAGAACCCATACCAAGGGCAAAAATGGGTTGCTTTTTTATGAGTTGCATCTAAATCCCATTCCAATCTGGTTCAAAGCTATAAGGCAAACTTGAGCGTGACCATTCTGTGAAGTCTGCATTTGAAGATCCATTTGAGTTGAATTTACAATATCTTATGTTCTATATTTTATCTTAGAGCTCTGTAGTTTATGACTTTCTCTTGTTTAGCGGCATAGATTAGTCAGTAGTATAGAAATAATCACATCTTAACCTATCTGCTTGTAATCATCCCTCTGCAATGCTAGCTTTAAGCTATGCAGTATATTCCAGCCATTCCAGACAGTCGTTAGATAACATGCTGCTTATGTTAGTGTATCCTAAAGAGACCACCTGCATACCAGCAGCTCCGCAGCCCCTCCCGGCCTGGCCTGTGCCATGAGAGCCAGTAGCTGAGTGTGCTGACAGGCATGGTTGTTTTTAGTACACTGTTGAAGGTCAGCTCAGCACTATTGGGGAGTTATATATATCAAAGTAGGCTCCCACACCCAGGCAAACCAGCCTGCTCCATCCTCTCTATAGTGAATATATCATCTAAAAGCATGTTCACAAAATTTTATATAGTTGTTAGCTAGATATTATCTTTATGTCTAGCTTAATTTAAAACTGGAAACTGTAATTGGATGTAGAGGTGTTACGGTTTCAAATTTTCGCAGTATGATAACCCAGTCTAAAAATATCACTGTATAAATTGACCATTTATAAACACACAACCTGGCAGTCAAAAATGAATTTTTAAAAAAATTTGCTGGAAATAATTTTTTTGTAATAAAGTCTCTTTATACATTCTTGTGTATATATAACAAAAAACCAAAAGGTAACAACAAGAGTAACAGCTGGACACATAAAGAGTGAGACCCACTGGATTTAGTAGCTTCACTGGGTAAAAAAATTAACAGGTGAAAAAAATGTAATTTAATTACTATGTTGAAAAAAAATGAAGGGTAAGATAACTGTCTGATCATACATCGTACTCACTATGAGATTTATCATTTTTAAAAAATACTTATAAATTTCCTGTTAGAAGAAATGAAGAATATTTGTCCCACCATATACTTTCTTTCATATTTTCACCTCAGCCTAAACCATTCATTGGTACTAAGTACACTAGTATCAGATTTAAATGTCAGTTATGTGCACTCATTCAGATATGTAGACACGATATACTGACATAATCCTAATGTTGATCCTGTAGCTCATCTCCTTTAATACCACTCTTCAGTCTTAATAACAGGCATTAATAATGTAGTTGCAAATATCAAAAACAGTTTGCCGCACACTCCAACCCCAACCTTTGTCTTCTTAGTTGTCTGTATTTCCTCTATTTCCTTTGCTCTCAGTGGCCTACTTTCTTCCTCTCTGCTTTCTTTGGCACACAGAACAGGTCTTTTGTGTGTGTTTGTGAAGGAACAGGAGATTTGAACTGGCGTATCAGCCACCCATTCACTCAGGCATCAACTGGAATGAGCTGAGCGCAGAGAGTTAAAGTGTGAGCTGGTGCTGCTAATCCTTTCCTAGCACTTTCAAAGCCTTTGTTGTGACATGTTACTTTAGTTTTCCTCACCCTGTTAGTTTTGCTAAATCAGGTAGAAAGCAGAAGTGTTGGTGCATTCAGAGCAGTGAAACAAAAGTGAAATGGTGGTGGCTTTTCTCTAGTTTTAGGTACAAAACCAATAGCAGCGAGCATCCAGTTTCCAGTCAATCTATTTATACTGCACCATATTAGGCATTTGCTTTTTTGTTTTTGGGTTCATATTATGAATTAATATAAAGCCTAGTGCTCAATGCGTCCTGTGCAATCAAATTAAAGAACTCGTTGTGTTTCTCCAGTATCATAAGTAATGCAGCCTGATCTGTGTTAAGGCTCTTTTCACTTAATATTCTGTACACTGGATTAAAGTGAAATTTAAGCTTTTGAATTGTTTTCTATTTGGGATGAATCGGTTTCACATGTTTAAATAGAGCTGGGATGAAAACGTTCTCAAAAAGGTCTTTCATTCATTGGTAACAAACCTTTTGCAGGCATGGGAAGAAATCACAGAAGTTTGTAGAACATGGAAGCATGGAACATGCTTGTGAACTCTATCAAGCATTTCTTTTCTTTTATTGTTCAACTCAGTAATCCAGAATACTGCTGGAGCACTCCACTCTGTCCTCATTGGCTCATTTTCCCTACCGCATGTCATGTAAGACACACAACCCATGATACACAGCATGTTTTAAAGTTTACTTTAGGGTTGAATCGTGCTTATAGGCATTGAACCACATTAGGTTTCCCTTGATGCTGGCTCAAGAGTAATTCTCATAATCGGTCCTGGTTTTGGTCCACATTAGAGTGCAACTGAGGTGAAGATGAAGCACAACAAGGAAGTAATTGTACCAGTGTTCAATTCAAACAGAGTAAATACTACGTATGTGAAAGCACGCTTAGATATCACAGTGTTGTGCTCAAGTGCAGTAGTCACTTGTGTATCTGAGCAAACCAAACTATTGAATGAACTGTAGGCTGTACCACATGATGAAGTCTGTTAGTGAAAATCAGGAACCGCACCTGCAGAGGTCGTCCAGAGGGTTCCAGGAACACTCCTCCACGACATTGAGTCATTAGCCTCCTGGCTAATGACATGGAGTCATTAGCCAGGAGGTTTCCCCGGCATCAGCAGCACTATCACCACAGTAACCTTTACATAGATGTCAGGAGTCTCTGACTGCTCCAAGAGCCAATTAGAGATGACATTTACAATACCGAGGATGAATGGTCTCTATAAAGCAGATGATGTGGTTAGTCCCAAGGCTGTGCCAGTGAGTTCAACTGTTGCCCTGGAAAAAAAGCCTGGCCAATGCCTCACAGACCTAGCTTAAGAGCTTCCCTGCACAGATCTCTCTTAGGCTTTAGGTATTCTGTTTGTCTTTTCACAGCCAGAATTCCAAAGACAGTCTTTCAACTGCATGCACCTGGCTAGGAAGAGTATTTAGTTAATTCTGCCCTCCATAATTTTAGCATATGATACAGTCTTGTAGGTTTCAGTTCATGCTTCGTTCTCTTATGGTAGTTTCTGAAGGTTTATGAGCAGTGGGCTTGAATTTGAGCTGTAAAATGGGGCAAAGCCAGCCAGGGCCGTATGTGAAGGTGGTTTTTGAGAAGTCTTCCAGATGACTGTGTTTAGGGTGGTTACAGATTTATGTTCTAAATAATAATCTATAGAAAATGAACAGGGCAAATATATGCATGTGTTTGATCCTCTCAGTCTGTCCTATTTAGTTTTACATGGATAGGTGGGGTAATATAATTATTACATACATGCATCTGAAAAATGATATATAAATCCCGCAAGATAAATCCCATCTGAACTGACATGTGGGTCCAGATTCCATTATATTGTATGGGAAAAGAAGTTTTTCCCATATTTTTTGTGGAATTTTATGTGTGACAGCCATGCATACATCATGGGGACATCATGAGCAAGGCCCTTAACCCTCTCTGCTCCAGGGGTGCTGTATCATGGCTGACCCTGCGCTCTGACCCCAGCTTCCTTACAAGCTGGAATATGTGAAGAAAAAGAATTTTACTGTGCTGTAATGTATATGTGACAAATAAAGGCTTCTTCTTCTTCTTCTTCTTCTTCTTCTTAATGAAGTCATATGTCTGGGAATCTTATCCTGTCTAGCATGTAAGTGTTATATGAAATGTGTTGTAAGGTGCATTCAGCAGTTCATCTTGTTTCCTGGCAAGCTGGACCAGGCAAAAACTGACACAACAATAAGCCTTTGAGATGAGCACATTTATGGTTTTTCACGCATTGCTACAATGATACGGGAAACACCTGAAAACTTTTAAAACATGAATAAAATTCACGCTGTGGAAAAGCTAATTCACCGAAGGGGAAAAGACATGAGACATGAATGACATGCATTTGCTTCTGGTAGTGGTTACTGTGGCTCCATGTTAACTTTATCTAGGTAACCTAAACTTGTGAATTCAGGATTAAGGATCCTTGGTCTTGTGAGCCAATAGAAATCAAGTGGGTGGGACTGTGGGATCTTTGGATGGTTAAAAAAAAAATGCTTATTATTGTCATAAGCTTATTAGAAGCTTACGCCAGACTTTTGCCATCTTTACTGTATTTTGACTGTTGCTTGCTGTCTCATCCACCAGAATACGCTATGGTTTTTGTGGTAAAATTCTGTTTTTTGTTCCCCTCTTTGCTTTG